AGTGCTGTCAGCTTCTCACTTTAATGAGCAGCAGAATCCACCTAATTGTCCTTAGAAAAATATATATCTCTTGTGCAAAACCCTTAACAGCCAGGGAGTTAGGTTTGAAAGACTGAGAAAGGTAAGGCTTCTTCAAGGCCCTTTTTGACAACAAACAAGGCAGCTGATGCCCAGGCTGTGATCCGTGTGTTGTTATGATGTTTAATGTCTCCAAAGGACTGATTTTTTCCCTCTCTCTTTCCTACACGCTGATGCTTTTCTGTTATGGGACCCAGAGATCTCTGGAGAAAAAGCTGGTGACGGAGGTGGGACAGGAAGAGACACCCCCTAGGGAATAAGGCAACCTTTGTGTCTCAGATCCTCTGAGACACACAATCTGTTAGCAACCCTTTGGATTTGTTTTGGTAACAGGGCGGGTAAGCTCAGGCTAAGTTAATTTATTTCTATCTGATAGAGCTGCATGTATGCAATAACCCTTGTGAAATGGGATTGCTTGGCATCAGGGTTTCACGTGCTGCTGCTTTTAGTTCTGGAGACCAGAGTTCAAGTCTCTTGTCGGTCCCAAGTGAATGGAGTGTGGGGGGTGTTGTCAGACGTATGCTTAGCTGGCACATGGTTAGGCATGCCAGGCCTCGGCAGAGCTGTGTTGGGGCTAGAAGGACAGCATGTGACAATGGCAAAGGTGTTCTAAGGGCCCAGAGCTTGCAATATCAGGGAATGGAGAGGGCTGGTCTGAATTGCTAGGAGAGAACAGGGTAATGCTGTGGTTCACAGGAGGTGAATGACCAGGGTTACAGGGCATTGGAGAGCTGTGGAGGGAACCCAACTCATGGTCCCTGGTGGTGGGAGGGCCAGCTAACCTGAACCATGGACCAAAACAAGTGTCTTCTAAGATATTTAAGCAGGGTAGACACCCATAACCCTTGAGCAAAGCACAAGGCAGAGATTTCAGAGGGATACTTCTCCCAGATCAAGGGGAGACAAGGCTGCTGCTAAGATCTGTGCCACCATGCTGGCAGCTGGAGGGGATGGATGGGGGAGGTAGTGAAGCTGGCCAAGCTGGGCCTTGCTCCACCAACACCTCCTTCTTTTTACGTATTCCCCCAACTCATAACCTGGACCTACTGGCCTTCCTCCCTTAGTCCCTGCATAGCTTCTTCTTCTCTGCCATTCTCCATCTGGGCACAAAAGTCCCTCCCTCTGCCCCCAAACATATCAGCCCTTTGCAGTCTACTCAAACCAAGACACCTGCCAGAGTTGGGCCCAGAGCCTAAAGGACATGACGGAAAGTGGTGAAGGAGAGCACAAAGCTAGCAATTTGGGCCTTCTTTCTCTGCCCAGGTGCGGGATGGGAATCCCTGGGCCAGAATGATTGTTGGAAAAAGAGAAAGAGAGGGCAACCACGCTTGGCTGCTCAGGGCTCTGCAGCCTCACAGCTGCACTCCAACTGCTTGTCTGCTCTCTGGTATTTCTGTTCCATTTCACATTTAGCCTATTTAAAAAACTACTCAGGGGGCCATCTCAGAGCCCTAGGACACCACTGGAGCAAAGTCAGCTACACTGGCTAGCCATCACCCCCATGCTTCCTTCCATCTTTCCCAATCACCCTTAATTAAACTGCCTGAAAGGCGCAGCCTGATTTTAATTAGAATGAAATTGTGAAGATTAGAAGGAAATTAGCCGATCATTGTTTATGGGGCTGTTGTTTGAGAACACAGCAGGCTGGTAAATTGCCTCCATGCCGGGTTTGCAGTGATTGCAGACAGTGCCAGGGCTGTGGGAGCCCTGCTAGGCAGGGTCTTGGCACAGACTGGATGACACATTTTGCAGCTGCAGATGTTAAGATGTTACTTAAAAAATTACGAAATGCCAGCACATGCTGCCAGCGTCCTTTTCCTTGGTAGTGTCCATCAGTACAGAGATGGCTCATAAGGCTTGGCAAAGGCAGCTTAAAAGCCTGTTCACCAGGAAAACTTTTTACAGGACCACAAGTGAGCAGGAATGATGACCTGCAGTGGTCTGTGATTCGGGACACCTGAGTTCAAGTACTGGCTCAGCCACAGACTGCCTGAGTGACCTTGGGCCTGTCACAATTTTATTCAGTTCTTCCTATGTAATAAAAGAGAGCGGGATGAAACTACTCTACTTTTCCTTCAGTGGTGGGTAGAGAATGACTAGCAATGTTTCTGTGTGATGGACCTAGAGAGGAGATGGATTTTGCTTGCTGCTCACTGTTCAGGCTGTAGTTTTGTACTCCCTCCACTCCTGCAATCCCCACCTACAAGAGGTGACATGGTCCCTCATACTGGTGGTGACAGCACCAGATAGGGCCCACCCTGACATAGCACTCCTGCCACAGTGCCATCCAGTGATAGCCTCAAACATAACAGCTCCCGACAGCTGGGGGATCCTGTGCTATTAGGATGCTCATGCTTGGGAAGGGCATGGCTTCAAACCCTGCTGGTGTAGTCCCCAAGCCAGTTTGTGACTGGACACAGCAGAAACTTGCTGTATCCTTTAGAGCCAGACTCTTCATTCAAGTCAAAGAGAGTTTTACCCTTGATTTCACTGGGAACAGGAGCAAATGCTGCTTACATAACTGTGATCTGATGGCATGACACTGTATACAAGGAATACATGCAGTGACACTATATATTTAAAAGGGTAATAACACTCCAATACTTACACCTCAGTCCCCTTAGCTCAGGCATTTGTAGAGAGTGGCGAGCAAATTAGCCTATTGTTTTGCCTGCAGGATACAAGAGCTGGTGATTTGAAACAGGCCTGAGCTCCAAACCTGCTAATCCTCACTAGGCTGTCTTTACATCAAATAATATTTGCATATTTAAAGCAGAAGGACTGATTCTCCTTTTAGATCTGTGTAAATCAGCACTGTGATGGCACTATTATAAATGAGAAGAATTAGACCCCATAGGGTTTAATTTTCATATATAATCCAATGGCGGCATGACAATTACAAGTAATAAGTGTGTTTGATTAATTTATTACAGTCACACATGCCATTAACATGAAATAGCTTGTTATTATAACTAACAGTTGCGGAAGGGCAGAAGCTTTTGCTTAGAACAGTGCAGGCCAACCATTTTGGCAGGCATGCCACAAATTAGCCCCCCACCCTCTCCAAATGCTACTCTGATCCCCTTCCTTTGCCCAATCTGCTGCTCTGCTTTCTACTCACTACTCTGTGCTCCCTGCCTGATCTGCTCCTCTGTCTTCTGCTTCCTGCCCTATCTGCCACCGTATCCCCCATCCCCTCCCTGATTTGTCAGGTACCATACACAGAGACTGCCTATGCCACTTGTGGCACTCATGACATACGTTGGCCACCTCTGGCTTAAAACTTCACCCTGAAGGTTTTAGTAAATCATATGGACTAATGGAGAGAGCCCTTGCATAGTTGTAAGAAGACCTGAATTCTCTTCATGGTTCTGCCACTGACCTACAGTGTATCCTTGGGCAGGACAATTCCCTTCCTGCCCTGTGTTTGTCTAGTCCTTTAGACTGGATACAGGGACCTCTTTCACTGTGTGTCTGTACAGTCCCTATGACAACAGAGCCCTGATCTCCACTGCATCCCTTACGTGCTGTTATAATACTGATCCTGTCTTTGGGAACTCAGAAAACTGAATGAAGGCAGCAGAAGTCTTTTCAATGACCTTACCAGGATTTGGATGAAGCTCTAGGTGGCCGCCTGAAGGGGTCAGACTGTAGGAAAGGGGCAGTCTGCTCAGCTCCTGGCTTGTCTTTTGGTGAACTCCAGCCCTCATCAGTTCACACCTGTCTGATATAGGAGGGGCAAGCAAAAGCCGATAGCACAGGCATGTGCAAGCAATTTTTATCAGCTAATTTGTGCATGTGTGCCTGCATCTTGGCTGCTGTCCTCAGGCACAGGATCTGGGTTGTAACCCACAAGTATAGACATGTGTCTTAGCTGATACTTGTCTAGGCACCAGTCTATATAGCCATCCTTGAAAATGCTCCTCATTGCTCAGCCTGCTTGGAAAATATGCATAGTTGAATCTAGAGCTCCTGCTTTGGGACTCTCTAGCTGGCATGGGATTCCACTCCAGCTGTGGAAAGCTGGGCCACACCACAGCCTGGGCCTGGCTCTGCTGCCTACAAAGTTGTGGGCACCACAGAGAGGCAGTTGCAGGGAGCACTCTCATGGATACTCTGCTGCCATGGTACTATTCACTGATCAGCTCTTTGGTGACTGGATATCACCCTAAACATTTTATGCGTTAATGTCTGAGAAAAGGGCAATGATGTCTGAGTGACATCTGCAGCTCCCATCTGTCCTCACTCAAACATACACAGACAGATGCACTTTACCTTTTGATCTGGACCTAGACATGTCTCCATTCTGCCCTGTTCTCTACGCTGTAAGGACAGAGCGGTGGGTTGCCAGAGAGGCAGTCTGGAGGAATGTTAACCTCTTGGATACAGCTTGATATCACAAGTTATGGAAGACATTACATGGATGCCAAATCCATCTTGTTCTCTGTTCCCAGGTACTATTGCTATACCCCTGGCCCAGTCCCTCCATATAAGACATTTCCAAGTCTCACATCAGACAGGTCTGGGTTTGTACCACAGAATGCTGCAATGCTTCCCAGCGCTTATTTGATCTGGGAAGGTAGCCACCAGCATACCTGCAGGACATAGCACAAAGGCCACTAGGCTTTTTTGCCTACCTGTATGGAGGAAACCTGACTGAGTGATGTGGGTTGTAAGATGGGGAGGATGGTGAAGCAGTTACAGTGTGCCTAGATTCAGTTGCCAGCTCACTTCATCTTTCTGTGTCTGGAGGACGGAAGCCTCTAGCTACTACCTTCATGTTCCCTAACAATGAAAAAATATGCAATGACCACTGCATACAGTGCACCTAACTTCAGCCTTTCTCTGTAGTTTCCCACTCATCCCTCCCTCTCACCTGGCTCCTGGAGTTCACAGTTACTCTCCTTGGCTCCTTTCTGCAGAGAGTTTGCTCGCTGGAAGGTGAATAACTTGGTCTTGGAACGGAAGGATTTCTTCAGCCTGCCCCTGCCCCTGGCCCCAGAGTTCATCCGGAACATCCGCCTCCTGGGACGAAGGCCCAACCTACAACAGATAACAGAAAACCTGATAAAAAAATACGGGACACATTTCCTGCTCTCAGCCACTCTAGGAGGTGAGTGCCTCATGTTCCCCCATCTGCTGACTTCTAGCTTCAGCTTCCTCCTGGGCTAGATCCTCAAGGGGTGTTAGTCAGCACCGATGCCAATGGAGTTAACTCTACTTCCACCAGCTGGAGATCCTCATGTCCTCCAAACAGGAGACCATGGTGCCCTTTACATGTATTTTGTTATATTTGTGCTCATATCAGCTCCAAGATGAAAGCAGGATATAAAGAGCTCTAGGAATGCATATTGCTAGTGCAACTGCTCTTGAAATGGCAAGATTCTCCAAAGTGCCTAGTGAATTTGGGGGCCCAGCTGGACACCTCCTGGAAAGGACCATTTTTTCCAGAGGACAGGTGCTCTATGCTTACTGAAAAAACCCAGGTCCCCAGTATTGCTGAGAACTTCAGAAATTCTTGGCCACTATTTTCAGTGGGGACCCATGACTAGTGTTTAGCACAAAGGGACTTTTTTATTATAGACTAGCATCAGAAAATGGGAGGGAGAGTTTGAAAATAGCTGCATAGAACTGTTCAATATCTATGCGCAGCTCAGAGCTGGTAGCAATGGGTAGCCATAGGAGGACATTCAGCTAAATACAAGGGCAGCAGTATAGAGACTTATTACTGAGAGACTGTGGGGCTGGGAGTAGACAGGCATTTCCACTTTGCTTAGATTAATGCTTACAACTGGCCTGAGAGCTAGAGGTAGGAGAGCCTCGTCTGACTCCACAGCAGTTCCTCTGACCATTGGAGACACAGTGTTGCCAGGCTCCCATAAGAGTCCCATCCATATTGTCATCATCCTCAAGTGCTGGGTTGCTTGGTGTAGATCAGTGGTTCCCAACCTTTTTTGCTGCGACTCACTGCTGGGAGCGGAGTGCAGCAGCAGCAGTGGCCTGGGGGTCGGGGGAGTTCCCAGCACACAGCACAGCTTGTCCTTTGTGTGCAGTACCACTGGCATTGCCCCCTCAACCATCATTTGGGTTGCAACCTGAGGTTGAGAACTGCTAATTTAGATAATAGGCATGGGCCAAGGCTCAGGACTGTGACAGGGACATGAAAAACATGCCTCCTGCTTAGAGAAGAGGTGAAACAGGTATTTATGCCCAAGCCTGTTGGTTTCTATTCTGCAAATGGTGGTGTTGGAACCAGGGTGGGAAAATATAATCAGTGATGGGTCTTCCTGATGAGAAGCAGGTTCTACAAACCCATCTTAGGGAAGGATCCCCAGCCAGAGGACTGGGTGGGGAGGCAGCTGTGAAGGAGAGAAGGTCTCCAACTCCTCTCCTCCACCTCAACTGTAACAGTATTTGCAGACAGCTGGGTTTCCTGGACATCCAAGGGTGGCTGAATCTCTTGACTGAGCACTGACTTGTTGCCTACTGGGTGGCAATGCCTATGAACTAGCTCAGAAGTGGCACAGGCAAATGGGTTGCTATTGTGCTGCTGGTGTCCTGGAGCTCAGCCTGTAGCATCTTATGGGACCAGCTGTAAGCCGGCTGGGGCTCTTTCTGATGTACCCTACCTCAGCACTGAGTGAGGTCCTTCTGGACAAGTTGCTCTCTCCTCTGCACACCGGTAAGAGGCTAGGGTGGAGGGATGCATCCAACCGCCAACTGGTTGGATCTTTAGGCTGTTAGAGGTATAAGTGACTGTCTGGTGGCCCTCCTGGAGAGACACCCTACCTCCCTCCCCACCCTGGCCAAGGAGCAATGGAAGGTCACTGAAGGTGCAGGGAAGTGGAAGGCTCCAGTAGCAAACCACGCAGCTTGTGTGCCTGTGCAGGAGAAGAGTCTCTGACCATTTTTGTGGACAAGCGCAAACTGAGCCGGAAGGCAGAAACAACTGGCACAGGAGGGGCCGGGAACAGTTCTGCTGTCTCCCTGGAGACTCTGCACCAGCTGGCTGCCTCCTACTTCATTGACCGGGAAAGCACACTGCGCAGGCTCCACCACATCCAGATAGCAACAGCGGCCATCAAGGTAATGCTGCTGATGGGGCCCTATAAGGGAACAACAGGGGAGTGGAGGGGTGAAGGGATCCCTGCCTGTCCTGATGGGGGACATGAAGGTCTGGACTTTGCTGTTGTTAAGAAGATGATGGTGGTGCTAAAGTGAAAGGAGTAAATCCCGTCCCCAGTGCAACAGGTCCTTGTTTCTACCAAGTCTGGTGTACCAGATGCTGCACTGGTGCAGAGCCATGCAACGTTGTGCCCCTGAAGAATTTGCAATCTAAGTAGATAAGGCAGAGCATGGAAAGAGAAGCCCTCCCCTGCCAGTTTGTTGACCCATAAGTTACTTAAGGCATGCCCCAACACTTCATTCTTTTGCCATATCCTGCCACTATCATGAAAGCTTTTCCCTGTGAGCTCTGCCAGCACAATGAAGTCCTCACCTGCAGAGTGGAGTTGGCTTCTCAGAGAGGAAAGAGTCTATGTCTGTGTGGCTGCAGACTGGAGCTTAAGCTGGGCAATCCTGAACTCAAGGCTGCATGCTGTAGGTCCAGAGGGATCACATGTGCCAAGTGGCTGGGTTCCTTCTGGCAGGCATTTGCTGTGATAGTACTGCTGCTTGCTGTGTTCATGCTCTTTCTCCTGGAAGTGTCATACCAGCTCCTGCTCAGGCTGGATAAAAGCTGTCCTGGGCAAACTGTTTAGAGAGGACTTGGGTTTTGTCCTCCTTACTTTGCTGCCTCTCCTTTTTCCCCCACTGTGCAGAACCAGCCTAAGTTTCTCTCCAACCACTGATCAGCTTCTGACAATATGGTGTAGTGCAGTGTGTTCAGATCTAGCCCATGAGCTGTGTCATGCAGCTCATGGATCTTTCCATGAGTCTGGAAATCTGGCAATGGGAGAGGTGTGGCAGTGTTAATTGTTGCTCCCCTGCCTCCAAATTTCCGGACCCACAGGGAGCCCCTGCGTGTGGGGCAGATGGGCACATGGCCAGATCTGGCATTGGAGATTGGCCCAGCGCACTGTTGGATTGCACCCAGCCCCATGCCACTCATCCAGTCCATGGGGCCAGAAGGTTGAGCACCACTGGCTTAATGCATGACGGGAAATTAAGAGACCTGCAGCCTAGCCCCAGAGTGACTCTGAACAGTTCTCCATGCTCCACGTCTCCCCTCTGCAGAGTAGGGCTGTGCTTTGTGATCTCAAGATGGAGAGCACTTTATGAGTGCAGGATGTTTCCACTGGTGCCATCCAAGTTCTCTTCCTGACTCACAAACCTGCCACCTGGATGCTCTCTGAAGCCCTTCGTATTAATTTGATTCGGCTTATATTTAGTGTGTCTAATGAAGGTTAGGTAGCATAAAATAGGTGTGCCACAGACTACCAAGAGAGGGGAAGGGGCTTTACCAGTCTCTTCATCTCAGTATAACGCACCTAACAGCAGCGTCCTACTAGCTACATGCTTAACACTCTCTGGATGCAGCATCCAGGGCAAATGATCACAGCCAGATGAAGCAACTACTCTCTCTGTGGTCTCCTCAACCAGCTTGGCAATCAGAAAGCCAGCTCTCCAGCAGTGAGAATCCCTGTAGGGAGGAGGGGAGAGTAAGCAGGGAGCTCGAGTGAGATTAACACATTTATGTTATTTATGGGAAATTGGACACGCTAATGAAGCTGAGTTTTAATTGGGCTGGAGGCAGGCTGCTCTCTGTCAACAGGCCAGTTAGCACACACTTATTTCCCCTCTCTCAAGGCACTACCCGTACTGTTCTCTGGCACAAGCCATCACTGGTGTTGGGCTGGTTATCAGGAAGGAGAGATCCTCCCCCAGCACCACCACCCATCCGCTCTTCAACATCTAATCATCTCTGCTGGCCAGGGTCATTCCAAGGTGCTAGATGCCAGTGATGGGGACATTGTTCCTCTACTTCTTTTATCACTTACCTCCCATCCATTCACTTTCACCTTTTGCTCCCCTCATGGTATTGACCTGCCATGAGAATTTGAGCACCAGAGCTTTGGTATGACATGACCCCTGGGGCAATTTCAGCCAGGGGCCTCTCTCCCAGGCCTGCTGGGGATAATCCCCTATTGCACCTATATGCCATATCTTTTCCATCCTTAACTACTCCTTGGCATTAAGCTTGCTGGGTTGGGAATTGACTGGCTGCCCAGCTTCTCCATGATCACATGGCTAGACCCCCTTTATTGTTACAAGCAGGCCCAGTGACTTAGAGCTATTTCCATGTTTTAAAAGACTAGAGTCCTGAGAGGGCTGGGCTGGGAGAGGTACTACAGGCCGAGACTGAAGTATACAGCTCTACCAGCCTGCATCTTCAGTTGGAAGCACAAACCCTAACAGCTGAGATGTGCTACAGCATCACTGCCCTCATGGCACTTTGTTCTTATGTAGGTGACAGAAACCCGGACAGGGCCTCTTGGCTGCAGTAACTATGATAACCTGGATTCAGTCAGCTCTGTGCTTGTGCAAAGCCCTGAGAACAAAGTCCAGCTACTAGGTAAGTATGCCAGCTTTTCTCCTGTCGTTTTCCTTGCCCAGCCAAGGCCAGACCACCTACTAAAGCAAGATGGTGTAGCAGGTTATGGAGGAAGGCAGAGATAGTGAAGGCAATGGCAGAGAGAAGGGATACTGAAGAAAGGAGAGAGGAAGGGACAGAAGCAGAGAGAGGAAGACAATATACTGGTATATTAATTAGTTCAGACTGGCCCATTTACCAACCTTGTCCCATTTATACAGGGCATGCCCACAGTACTGCAGGAGACCACTGTAAGTAGGCACATATCTTTATTATATGTTCACAGCACCTGAGTGAGCAGAGCACTGCTGCACCCAGTAGAGAGCCAGCTGGTCCTTACAAGGTTAGATGGGAATGTGCTTGAGGTGGCAGGAACAGGAATCTGTCAGGTGGGGGCATGACTGAGTAGGGCAACAAGAGCCTGGGAAATGGGGAGGCAGGGAGAGCTAGATGTGGTCTGGCCTTCCCTGTGCTGTCAGAACCCTCCCAGAAAACACCAGTTCCCCCCATGCCAACATTTCTTGGCTTTATATGCATTTAAATATGGCCACCGTTATTGGAGGCCATATTTAAATGCATATTTAAGACAAGAAAAAAAACAGAGCAGAGGAAGGGAGGTAAGGGGAGTTGGACGGGGAGGTGGTGTGACTCGCCATATCTCCTTGGCTGCAGTAATGGGAGGAATGAAACTGCCAAGTGTCATTGTGTTTATGGGCCTCATACTCTCAGAGACCTGCACCTCGCAAATTGCTAGGGAGCGAGTACTGCACAGGAATGCAGTTAGTGTCTGTGAAAGCTCTAATGGAATTGGCCTCCTGTTAAGATATTATTGTCTGCATTATCAAATCAATAACCCTCAGAGGGGAGCTCTCATTACAGATGCACGCAGACTGTTTTGCCAGTGGCATGCTCTGGAAGCTACACAATACGGCTTCAGGAAGAAAAATGACCCGCTATTTCGTATCCGCTCATCCTTTCCCTGCCCTTTATCTGGCAAGTTTGTGCGCCAGTAAACTCATGATGGGTCAACTCTGCAAGCACTGGGAGAATTAACCCAATTCCCCCCCTGAGGATGCAGAGCTTGTACAGGTGTCTCTCAACCCACAATATTGGGGATTGAATGTCCCAGTAGAAATACATGAGTAGGATGGGGACAACACTCAAGGGAAGGCCTGAGTGTGTGGTGATAGTTAATGCTAGTGTGGGAAACAGCTAATGACTCAGTGGCTGTCAGAAGGGGCAAGGCTTGAGCTAGAACAGATAACTGCTGCAGCAATCTAATCCAGGCCCCAGACAGCTGGTGTGTCAGCAATAAGGCACTAAACTAGGATTCACCTCACTGGTACAGTGACAGAAAGATTCAGGCCAGATGTTTGAGGGCTTAATCCTATAGCCACTGTGAGTATGCAGCAGCTGCAGGATCAGACTTCCAGGGCCAGAGCCTCATTTAGTGAAGAAGGAGTCAACACAGTGACACTGATTTACCCTATCCCTGAATTTCTGCCGAACCCTATCCACACTACTGAAAATTCCTTAGAGCTACAAAAACCAAAAAGAGCTAAAAAGTCAGCATTTTTTTTAGATGTCCAGCATTTCAATTACAAGGGCTGATCAGGACCCATCTTCAACGTGGCCACACACGAACTGGGGGGAATGTGGCCATAAAGAAAGTAAATTCAACTTCCTCTCTCTAAACTTTGGGCTTGAATTAACCTTGGGGTGGAGGTTTCAACCATTGCTTGTTTTATCTAAACTGATTCAGCCCCTAGTACCATGATTCCCTCTTTCCCATGCAGGCAAACCTGCTTCACCATCTTAAATGAGGATCTGCAGCTTAGGGCCTACCTGAATGGAGGGGATCCTCATTTGTAGAGATTAATCTGTTTCTAGACCGGAGCTCCATAGCTGACCTTTTGTCAAGATGGTTAACAGAAGAAACTTTGGAGGCAACAGTGAAGGTCATCAGTCCTGCTCAGTTCATGTCCCTAGACCAGATTATGAGTCGGTGTAACTGGTGTAAGCTCCTTCTGTGGTACTGTAGAATTTTCAGTTTATGCCAACTGAGCATCTAGCCCTGTCATGTGAGTCAGTGTTGTGGAATATGGGCCAAATTCAGCCCTGGTGTAAATGGCTTGACTTTAGTAAGGCTGATCTTTTCCCTGTATCCATACAGTTGGGAGTCGGAGTGCTGTGTGCTGGGACATGCACGCTTGGCTCTGCTCTGGGTGTTTTCCTAACCCCCTGTGGCTCCCACCCTTTTCCCAGGTCTGCAAGTGCTGCTGCCTGGCTACCTGCGGGAACGCTTTGTGGGTGCCGCGCTCAGCTACATCACCTGCAGCTCCGAGGGCGAGCTCCTCTGCAGGAAGAATGACTGCTGGTGCCACTGTGAGCCCAGTTTCCCAGAATGCAACTGCCCAGAGGTGGACATCCAGGCAATGGAAGACAGCCTGTTCCAGATCCAGGACGCCTGGAACAATCACAACAGACAGTTTGAGGAGTCAGGTGAGGCCAAGTCTCCTTTCGTTTATAATCAAGAACAACCATTTCAAGAGCAGTACTCAGTCTGAGTCAGCACATCCAGTATTATATAGAGCTACCCCAACACCAGCTACAGGCAGTTGGGGAAGAAGAGTTTGCACTGTTTTGTGAGATACACACATGCACGTACATTTGCACTCAGCATTTTGCAACACCAGATTCTATGCTACCCTGCGTATTTCATAGCATGGGGTTGTAACAAGATGTTGTAGGAAATCAGGGCGTGTTTAGTTACAGGGGAGAAGAGACTGCCCTGCAGGTCCATCAGTCTTGACGTGGGAATGATTCTCAGTTCCCCTGGGAGGTGCGTGTATAAAACACTGATTTTAGATTACGCTGGGAAGATACAGAGTTGGTCAGGATGTAAAGAACTGGTGTCATTGGTAGAAGAAACACCAGTCTCTCTTGGCATTTCCTACCCAGGCAAATGAAAGCTTATTAATGTGAACTCAGGGAGGCAAGATGATGTAGTATATTGGGCAAATTACTGGGAATCAAGACATCAGGGTTCTACTTCTGGCACCTTTTGCCTCCAGTCACTCACCGTCTATATTCTCCCCCCGCCCTCTGTCCATTACATCGCTTTAGGCCAGATCCCCTTTGGAGAGAGAACTCTTTCTTCCAGTGGGTATGACTAGCACTTCTTATAATGAAGGCCTCATGATGGTTACATCAGTGTAACCTTGTGGATGGTACACAGCTATCATGCAGGAGACCTAGGTTGCTGTCCCTGGCTCTGTTGTTGAGTAGCAAGTCACTTTCCCCATATGTAAAGTGGGGATAATTTAACCAGTCTGCTCCATAAAGCACTTTAAGATGGACAGATGAAGAATGCTATGTAAGAGCTGGGTTTTGTTGCTACCATTGTTACTTGTATTGTATTAGTGCGCAGACACGCCTAACTAGAGATCAAGACCCAATTATGCTATATACTGCACATGCACATGACAAAGGAATAGGTCCTGTGGCAAGAAGCCTATAGTCCACATGTATTTTTCCTCAAGGATGATGTGATCCAGCAATTTGAGGATAATGCAATAAGGCAGGACACATGCTGAGTTCTAATCCTGGCTCTAAAATCTTGAGCAAGTTATGTCATCCCCCTGTCTTGGTTTCCCTACCTACAAGAATAGGGAACGTGGCCCCGCTGTGGGGTCACTGTGAGGATTGACTGTCTAGCAGTAACGTATTAGTGTGCATTAGCAACAGTCTAGCGAATCTACATGCACTCCAGAACCAAGTACAAAGCTGGTGTCATGGTGGTGGGAAGGGCTCTGTTCCTTGCTAAGAATTACCATGGTTAGTTGAGTACCAAGAAGTGGCTAAAATTTGGGTATTTAAACTGAAAAGCAGGGAAGGGGAAAGACTCTAGCTTGAACAATAGACCCTCCCTCACCCATTTACTCTACCTGGATTGCAGCATGGCTTTCCTACAGTGCTGACTATCCCTTCTCTTTCTACAGAGGAGTTCCAGACCCTGGTGAAGAGACTCCCTGGAGACCGTTTCCTGAACATGACAGCTATCTCACAGTACTGGGTGATGGACCTTGATGTTCAGCATCGCTACCAGCAGCTGGGCACCAGCTTGAAATTGCTGTCCAAGAAAACCCGTTGGCTTGTCCGACGACTCTTCAACCTCAGCAAACGCTGCCACCGGCAACCTCGCTTCAAACTGCCAAAAGAGAGGTACAGAATCTTATCAGCAAGTCCAGGGAGTCTGCTCTAGATCAGTGTTTCTTAACACCCAAAAGTGGGTCACAAGAATCTATGAAAGGATTGCAAACAAACTTTAAAAACAGATTAACAAAATGGATTCTCCTTTAAAGGGGAAAACATGGGAAACCGTGACTTTTCCCATGCAGGCTGGCAGAATTCCAGCCTGCAAGGGGCTGCTTGGGACCCCTCTGCTCCACATACTGTGGGACTGGGGCCTGGGGATGAGGGGCAGTGGGTCAGGACTGGCCACTGATGTTTACAAATGGGTCCTGGTGCAAAAAAGGTTGAGAACTGCTGCTCTAGATTGCCTTGTTCCAGACTGGGTTAGTGGAGCAAGGGCAACCCTATCCACTTAAATACTGCTCTGTATAATCCAAACCGGATTTAAGTGATCAGTTTCACTCTATCTACACAGTGTCCACTAGAAGTTTCCAACCATGTCAGCTCACTCAGCAGAGAGACCAAAGGCAGAGGGGGACACAGAGACTTGAGCTGTTTTATTCTTCTTGGAGCTAGTGCTGGCAGGTCAGGAGATGGAGAACTTTGCCTAGGCCATGGCTCAGATGAGGATTCAATCTCCACCACTAGTATCTAGCATCAAAACAATAAGCAAACAATTGAAGCATATTCTAGCACACTGGACTTGGAAATATTTCAAGTTCCGTTATGAATTGGGGGATACACATGCAGCCCCTGTAGTGTTCCCTGGATGCAGTGCTTCAGAGTTGCTGCTCTCTACCCAGGGGACATCACAGGAGGTTGTGGGGACCTGCTCTCCCTGAGCACCACTCCCTGCCAGAACTAGGATGCTGGACCCATGTGCCCACTGGAACTGGAGAGGTACCCAGAGAATGGGGGCTGGAAAGCCATTGCCACTTCCAGCCCAAGGGGTGGGGGATGGGAATAGGGGGAGGTAGCAGTCTGGAGAGGGGCTTACCTACCTCCCACTTTGGCTCCACCTTCTGCTCCATCTTGGAGGGTATACCCAGCTCTGGCCAGCAGAATGCCCACAGTCTGCACCACTCTCCTTCCTCCTCCCTCTGTGTGTGAATGCGGAGACAGAGATAAAAACATGTGGGATTCTGGAGAGCCCAGAGGTCCCCTGACACACTCTCTACAGTGTACGCATGTACAGAGCACTGAAGTACTTCATTGCTTTTGAAGCATTTCAAAGGGCATGCATGCGTGTACATCTGGACCTTTGAAACACTTCGGTTGTTAATTCTGTCCACACCCTAAAAAGTCTTTTCTTTCTTGCCTCCTGTTCCTTAGGTCTTTACTCTACTGGTGGAACCGCATTCAGTCACTCCTGTACTGCAGTGAGACCATCGTGCCTGGGACTTTCCTGGAAGAAAGCCACAGTTGCACCTGCCCTTATGACCAAGTGTCCTGCCAGGGGCCCATACCATGTGCCTTGGGTGAAGGGTCAGCTTGTGCCACCTGTGCTGATGATAACAGCACACACTGCGGGGCCTGCAACCCAGGTTATGTGCTCAACCAGGGTTTCTGCCGGCCAGAGGTGGCAGAGTCCCTAGAGCACTATTTAGGGCTTGAGACTGACCTGCAGGACTTGGAGCTCAAGTATCTGCTCCAGAAACGGGACAGCCGCATTGAGGTGCACTCCATATTCATCAGCAATGATATGCGCCTGGGGAGCTGGTTCGATCCCTCCTGGAGGAAGCGCATGCTCCTGACCTTGAAAAGCAACAAGTACAAGCCAGGGCTAGTGCACATCATGCTGGCCCTCTCCCTCCAGATATGTCTCACCAAGAACAGCACCCTGGAGCCAGTCATGGCTATCTATGTCAACCCGTTTGGGGGCAGCCACTCGGAGAGCTGGTTTATGCCCGTTAATGAGAGTGGCTTCACAGACTGGGAAAGGACTAATGTTGATGCCTCCGCCCAGTGCCAAAATTGGACACTCACCTTAGGAAACAGGTGGAAGACCTTCTTTGAGACAGTCCACGTCTATCTGAGGAGCCGCATCAAGTCTCTGGATGACAGTTCCAATGAGACTATCTATTATGAGCCCCTAGAGATGGTGGATCCCTCTAAGAATCTGGGCTACATGAAGATCAACAGCTTTCAAGTCTTTGGTTTCAGCCTGCCCTTTGATCCAGATGCCATCCGGGACCTGATCCTTCAGTTAGATTACCCATACACACAAGGCTCCCAGGACTCAGCCCTGTTACAGCTCATAGAAATCAGGGACCGGGTGAATCGGCTTTCACCACCTGGCAAAACCCGGCTTGACCTTTTCTCTTGCTTGCTCCGGCACCGGCTCAAACTGGCCAACAATGAGGTGGCAAGGATCCAGTCCTCCCTGAGAGCCTTCAATGCCAAACTGCCAAACCCAGTGGAGTATGAGACAGGCAAACTATGCAGTTAGCCTTGAGGACTGCATGACATCTCTGGAGAAGAAGTGTGAGGAAAAGGAAGGAGGGCTGGGGAGCTGAGACTTCAAAAGGCCTTATCTCAGTGCCAACAGCGTGCTTCCAAAGGACACCAAGTGACCAGCCAGGGAGATGGCAGGGCCTGAGTGACGCAAGGAGCCAAACAGGCCTTCAGGAAGCAGCTGAGGAAGATGGGACAGGCCTATTCTGCTAGGAGATGCCTGCCTGGCAACTGCTGATGGGCCTCTTTTCCCTTCTGAGTTACAAGCTAACGTTGTGACCAGGCAGGAAAATCATTAGTACCTGACATGTGAAAAGGCCAAAGTGAAAGAAGAGGAGTCAGTTGTGGGGAGAGAAAACTTCAAGAAGGAAAATCTCCTGGAAAGGAGACCTATCTGCTGGTGCCCCACCAGCACTCCAGGCAAAAACAGAGGGGAGCAAGAAGAACAAAACCACAGACATGCAGGAGGCCAAATTTGCTCAAAGGGCTTCACATGTACCATCCCTGGGGCAGAAGCCAGCTGTGGTCTCCCTCAGTGCAGTCACTTTTGTATTCTTTTTAACAGATGTTTCTACCAACACCATTACCACTGCATTCTGTGTTACCTTTCTAAGTCTTTGTATTCTCTTGCCTTTCCCATCCTCCCATATGCACGCCCACCCCTGCGCGTTCTCCTGATACCATTCCCCAGATGGCTGGGAGAACCTGGCTGATCCCAGCTGGTGATCCCTGGGGCAGGCAGACCTGCTTGAACTCCACTATTATCCCTGTGTAAGGGGTGAGCTCGTCACCCTCCTTTGTCACTCAATGCCATGAAACTGCACCTTGTTACTTTAAGTGGAGATGGAAATGGCTCTGCTATTGACACAAGGAAGTGACTTGGCTTCAGCCATGCAGGCAGCTGTTTTGGCATTCGGAGGTGGAGCTCTCTGGGTAGTTTTCCTTTACAGTTTTTTATTTACGCATTTATTTAAT